TTTTTTTTTGTTTTTTTTATATCAAAAATATATATATATATATATATATATATATATATATATATATATATATATATATATATATATATATATCATTGTCAGACATAAAATTAAAAACTTTTCTGTCTTAGGTCAGTTATGATGATCCAAATATTCCTGTTTGCTAAATGTGAGATTAAACTATTTTTTTTTTCTTTTTACTTTAGACACCTGTTCAGTTTTGTCTGCGAATTATAAAACTTAATCTCTGTGTATATCAGTATCAAACATATTATTTCTAATCAAGAACAATCTGGATAAATTTACGCAATTTTACAAACTCAACCACAGTATGTTCTGGCTGTCATGGCGTCTGATGAGTCAAGTGGCATTAATTAACAAATAACTGCAATAGTTGAGTTATTTATCCTGTAATAATAATAAAAAAGTAAGTGATATTTTCGCCTTGTTTACTCATTTATAGATGTCACAGTGTCATTTTAGTTTGAAGCTAAATATAGTTCAGAGCGAAAGCTAACCGGAAGTGGGCCGCCAAAATACAAACTGGGTCTTCTGAACCGAACCTTTTTATAAACTCCTGCTTTTGAATAGATTCATGTCGCTCATTCGTTGTCGTTTCGTTTTCTTATTTTCTTGTATAACGTTTAAACTTAAATTGAAGGATGAGCCGGTTATCAGTGGATCGCAGACTCAGCTTTTATTTTGATAGCCCGCTTTCGGGAAGTGAATTTGCTAGCTAACAAACGCTAGCTCAGAGTTAGCTAAACATTTAGCTAACTTAGAACTAAAAATTAAGGTTTGAGCTGTTAGTTGGCAAATTAAATATTTAGCTAGCCAACTTTTTTGCTGATTTACATAAAAAGTAAATATTTAATGGACTAATTAAACATTTAGTTTGAAACTGACATTTATAAATTAATTTATAACCTGGCGAATAATATGACAAAACAAAATAACCCTAATTTTTTTTGACAGGCTGCATAACATACTTTTTGATTGTGTAACTTTACAGATGGCACCCTGTTGTTGATGAATGCTGCTAGTTGAGTATTTTCTGTTAAATGTCACTAAAGGGCAGCATGAATCTAAAACAAACAGCATGAATCTAAAACAAACAGTATGACTGAGTTGTTTTTCTTATAATCTGTCACAATTTAGATTTATCTTAAATCTGACTTTACCATTATGATTTTTCATGGTTTTTTGAGCTACATTGCCGATAATTTATGCTAACTTTTATAAAGACCGGCTGTGAGAAACAATTTAATAATTCAGCTGTAGCATGTTGGTTGGATGCTGCATGCCTTTTGGGTCAGAGGTCAAAACAGGAATCTTGGATTTGTTTCCCACCCAAACCAAACCACGTTCCAGGGGCAAGTCAGAAAAACCTGCTGGGAATGGCTGGAACCAAGCTAACAACGTGTTTCTCTGCATTGTGAACATTTGTGTCACTGTTTTAATAAGATACAAACTGCTAAATGTACAACTAAATAGTTTATTGTCGTAATTTTAAAAAATGAAATTCAAATATTAACCGTCACAGATTGAAATGTCGGATGATTTCTTGCAACTTTGTGGCTTGCAAACAATAAAAACCCAAATCTTTATCTCGCAAAATCAGAATATTGTGAAAAAGTTGTATGTTGGACTAATAGTTGCACACCAAGCATATTCATAGAAAGTTAAGTGGAAGAAAAAGATACACCAGCAACAGGAATAAGCGTCGAAAGGATTGTTGAGCGAAGGCAATTCAAAGTCCCTTAGAGAAATTTAGTGTTTCAGAATTTAGAATAACA